CCCCCATTTGCGGGTCCCCCCCAGGCATCGGCCGCTGGAGCAACCCCCAGTACGTGGAGTTCATCTCGGTGTTGGAGGACAGCCACCGCCTGGGCACCCCCGAGGTCAAGGTGGGACGGGGCCTCCCCCATGGGTGATGAAGAACATCCCCCCCCAATAGGATCTGGGGGTGTCTCACCCCTTGCCCCCCTCTTCCCCCCCCCATAGCGCAAACTGGCCCATTACACCTTCGACTTCAGGAGCTGGCCCATTGACTTCCGCTGGGACAGCACCGGGGTCCCCTGGTGAGCACAAACACCTCTCCCCCCTCCGGACTTCCCCATCCCATTGGCACCCCCCAACCCCACTGACCCCCCAGTGACCCCCAACCCCACTGACACCCCAGTGACCCCCCATTGACCCCCCCCAACCCCACTGAACCCCCATTGGCAACCCCCAACCCCACTGACCCCTCAGTGACCCCCCAACCCCACTGACCCCCCATTGACCACCCCAAACCCACTGCCCCCCCCATCCGCAGGGGCGGTTCCCGGGACGTGCCCCTCCTCCGGACCCCCCCGGGGCACCGCGGGGCTGCTCGAGGCTTCCTGGGAGCTCTGCGCAAGGTGCCCTGCAGGCTGGCCAGGTGGGTGGGGCTTGAGGTGGGCGGGGCGTGGGCGGGGTTGTGTGGCCATGCCCCCCCTTCCGGAAGGGGTGGGACTTCTGGACCCTGAGGCTCTGCATGCCACATGGGAGGGGGTGGAGCTTGTAATTGGCCACGCTTCCCCCAGGGTAAAGAGGCGGGGCTACTTCTACATGGCCTCAAAGGGGTGGGACATCGGGTCACGCCCGCAGGGGATTGGTGGGGTGGAGCTTCTGGACCCTGAGGCTCTGCATTCCACTTGAGAGGGGTTTGTGCTTGTAATTGGCCACGCCCCCGTAAACGGATGATGTCACCTCTACATGGCCACGCCCACAAAGGGGGTGGGACATCGGTTCACGCCAGCAGGGGATTGGTGGCGTGGACCTTCTGGCCACGCCCCCAAGGGAAGGGGGCTCTTCTGCTGACCCCGCCCCCCCTTTGGGCGTGGCGTGTCGTGGCCCCGCCCCCAGCCTGCTGCTGGCGCACACGCTGGGCCGGAGGATGCTGTTCCCGGGCTCGGTGCGGCTGCTGCAGAAGGCGCTGCTGCCTTCGCTGCTGCAGGGGCAGGCCCGGCTGGTGGAGGAGGTGAGAGCACAGAGAGCCCTGACAAACACAGCCCTGAAACCCCCCGGAACCAGCCCAAAAACACCCCAAAAACAGCCCTGAAACCCCCCGGAACCAGCCCCAAAACATCCCCAAAACAGCCCTGAAACCCCCCGGAACCAGCCCCAAAACACCCCCAAAACAGCCCTGAAACCCCCCCGAACCAGCCCAAAAACAGCCCTGAAACCCCCCGAAACCAGCCCAAAAACACCCCCAAAACAGCCCTGAAACCCCCCAAAACCAGCCCCAAACACCCCAAAAACAGTCCTGAAACCCCCCCAAAACCAGCCCAAAACACCCCTGAAACAGCCCTGAAACCCCCCGGAACCAGCCCCAAAACACCCCAGAAACAGCCCTGAAACCCCCCGGAACCAGCCCAAAACCACCCCAAAAACAGTCCTGAAACACCCCCAAAACCAGCCCAAAACACCCCAAAAACAGCCCTGAAACCCCCCCAAAACCACCCGGAACCAGCCCAAAAACACCCCAAAAACAGTCCTGAAACACCCCCAAAACCAGCCCAAAACACCCCAAAAACAGCCCTGAACCCCCCCAAAAACAGCCCAAAACACCCCCAAAACAGCCCTGAAACCCCCCCAAAACCACCCAGAACCAGCCCAAAAACACCCCAAAAACAGTCCTGAAACACCCCCCAAAACAGCCCAAAGCACCCCCAAAACAGCCCTGAAACCCCCCGGAACCAGCCCAAAACACCCCAAAAACAGTCCTGAAACCCCCAAAACTGCCCCGAGCGCCCCCAAACCCCACCGAGACCCCCCTCCACCCGCAGTGCGGGGGACAGCGCGCCAAGCTCCTGGCCTGTGATGGCAACGAGATCGACACCATGTTCATCGACCGGCGGCACAGGGCCGGGCCCCACGGCAGCACCCTGGTGAGGAGCCCATGGGGCGCAGTGGGGCACGGGGGGGCTGCTGTGGGGCGCTCTGACACCGCCCCCCCCCCGTGTGTCCCCCCCCAGGTCATCTGCTGTGAGGGCAACGCCGGGTTCTACGAGGTCGGCTGCTTGTGCACCCCGCTGGAGGGTAGGGATGCGCCCCTGCTGCCCCATAGCGGGATTCTCTGCCCTATAAGTGCCTAGACCCATAAGTGAGCCCCCCCGCTCTACAGATGGACCCCCCCCAGGCCCACAGATGAGCCATGGACCCCATCCCCCTGCCCCACAGATGTGCTTCTCCCCACCCATGAAGAGACCCCTCAGCCCCACAGCCACCTCCTGTAACCCAAAGGGGACCCATAGATGCCCGCTCCTCCCCCCAGCACCACACAGAGCTCCCCCATTACGGCATGGGCTGGTCCCATCATGTGGGGTTGGGGGGGGTCACCCCTTTATAGGGGGTTGCACAGGGGTGACCCCATCTCTGTTCCCCCCCCCAACAGCCGGTTACTCCGTCCTGGGCTGGAATCATCCTGGCTTCGGAGGCAGCACTGTGAGTGGGGGGGGGGGAAATCCGGTTTTGGGGTGCGTGGGGGGTTTTGGGGTGCCCCCCCTGACTGCCCCCTGCACAGGGGGTGCCGCTGCCGCAGAGCGAGGCCAACGCCATGGACGTGGTGGTTCGGTTTGCGCTGCAGGAGCTGCGCTTCCCCCCCCGCAGCATCGTCATCTACGCATGGTCCATCGGTGGCTTCACAGGTACCGGGCCATGGGGGGTGCATTGGGGTGCACTGGGGCTGTACTGGGTGTTACTGGAGCACTGTCACCCGCAGCCACCTGGGCTGCCATGTCCTACCCGGAGCTCGGGGCGCTCGTGCTCGACGCCTCCTTCGACGACCTCGTGCCCCTGGCCCTGAAGGTGCTGCCACGAAGCTGGGGTGAGCCCTGACCCCAAAACCCCCCCGAAACCAGCGCAAACCCCCCCAGTGCAGGCCCAGTGCACCCCAGTACAGCCCCAGTGCACTCCAGTACAGCCCAGTGTCCCCCCAGGGGAGCTGGTCACCAGGACCGTGAGGGAGCATCTGAACCTCAACAACGCGGAGCAGCTCTGCAGGTACCTTTGGGGACCCCTTCCCCTCTATTGGGGGATCCCCCCAGAGCCCCCCAGGCCTCCCCCCCATAGCCCCTCATTGCAGGTACCAGGGGCCGGTGCTGTTGGTGAGGAGGACGCGGGACGAGATCATCACCACCACGTGAGTCTCGTGTTGGGGACGGGGGCCTGATGGAGATGGGGAGATCCCTGTGCCCCCCCCATGTCCCACTGTCCCCCCACAGGGTCCCCGAGGACATCGCATCCAACAGGGGCAATGATCTCCTGCTGAAGCTGCTGCAGCACAGGTGGGGATGGGGCTCCATGGGGGCGTTTGGGGGTCACTGTGGGGTTTGGGGAAGTCCATGGGGGGCTCTGACCCCTGTTCCCCCACCCCACCCCACAGGTACCCCAAGATCATGGCAGATGAGGGGACCCGGATCGTGCGGGAATGGCTGGAGGCAGCAACACCAGCGGAGGAGAGTGAGTGACCCCATAGACCCCATTGAGCCCTATAGCCCCCCACAGACATCCCATGGACCCACAGAAACCTATAGGCACCCCATAGAACCCCAGGCCCCATAGGACTCCATAGACACCCCATAACATCCATAGACCTCTCATAACCTATATAGACCCCATAGGCACAGATAGTTCCCCATAGCCACTCTATAGACCCCCCCCCATAGGCTCCATAATCCCTATAGGCCCACACAGATCCCATAGACCCCCTAGATGCCATAGACCCCAATAACTCCCCATTAGCCCCACCCCGTGGGTTCAGGGTGATGGGGCAGGTCACGTGACCGGTCACATGCAGGGGCGCTGGCGCAGAGGTGCCCAGTGGACGAGTGCTGGTGCCACGCGGTGCTCGAGGCCTTCGCCGGGGACCGGGACCCCCCCTTCCCATGGAGCCTGGGTGAGCCAATGGGGACACAGGGCTCCGGGCACAGCCAATTGGGAGTCAGGGATCAAGAGAACGCCAATGGGGACACAGAGCTCCGGGCTCAGCTAATTGGGAGCAAGGGATCGAGAGAACACCCAATGGGGACACAGGGCTCCGGGGCTTGCCAATGGGGAGTCAGGGCTCTGGGGAGAGCCAGTGGGGACCCACGTGTAGAGAGAGCAACCAATGGGGAGCTGGAAGCATGGGGACAGCCTATGAGGAGCTGAGGGCACCATGCTGACCAATGGGGAGCCAGGAGCCTCATCGGCAGCCAGTGAGGCTCAGGGAGGGTTTAGGGTGGCCAATGGGTGGCCTTGAGGGCATCTGATGTGGTGTCGCCTGTATAAGGCAGGTAATGGGGTGCAGGGGGCAGCCAATCAGACCCCACGCTGGGGATGCTGTGGACACACCGTTGGTTGGCTGCTGAGACAGAAGGAGGGGATTGGCTGCCCTCAGCCAATGGGGGGTGGCCCTTCCCCATATAACCCCCCTGGTTCCGCCCCCAGGGGAGGAGCTGTCGGTGGAGGAGCGGCAGCAGCTGGCGCTGTTCCTGGTGAGGGGGGCGGGGCTTGGGGGGGGGGGCGGGGTTTGTGCGGGGGGATGGGCACCCACTGCCCCTCCCCCCACAGGCGCAGAAGCATCTCCAGAACTTCGAGGCCTCGCACTGCACCCCCCTCCCCCCCCAGGCCTTCCGCCTGCCCTGGACCCTCTGACCCCGTCCTCACCCTCCGGGACCCCTCCCCTCCCCCACCCCGCACGTGCCCCTCCCCCACCCCCCCCCAAAATCCTTCATTAAAAAAAACGGGGTTTTTGTTCCCAGCGTTTAATGAATTGGGGGGGAGGGGGAGGGGAGGGGGAGGGGGAGGGGGAGGGGACAGGGGGGGTCACAGCATCTTCCTCATCAGCTCCTCAGCTTCCAGAACCTTCTGTAGCTCCGCCTCCGCTTGCGCCAACTGCGGGGGGCGGGGAGGGGAGGGTGTGGGTGGGTCCCTCCCAACCCCCACTGATCCCCACAGACCCCCTCCATGACCCCCCCAGGAACCTAAATCCCCCCCCCATTATACCCCTATTAGACCCCTCCAGCTGAGACCCCCCCATTACCCCCATACTGGACCCCCATTACCCCACGGCCTCACCTTGGCAGCCTCAGCCTCCTGCACACTGGGGGGCACCTTCTCCACATACCCCGGCCCCCCCCGGCGCTCCCGCAGCCGCTCCATGCTCCGGGCCAGCTCCTGCCTGCGCGCCCCGAGCCTGCCCAGCTCCTTGGGAGCATCTACCAGGCCCTATTGGGGGGGGACAGGGGACACCCCGTAATGACGTCATCAAGGGGGGTACCCCGAAATGACGTCATCAACGGGGGTAACCCCATAATGACGTCAGCATCCAAGGGTGTACCCTGTAATGACATCATCGACGGGGGGGGGTACCCCGTAATGACGTCATCGGCGGGGGGGTTACCCCAAAATGCCGTCACCCCCCAAGCATGGCACGGGGGTGGGGGGCGCACCTTGAGCAGCAGGTGGACGGAACAGCGCTCGGAGGCCACGGCCACGGCACAGCCCGGGGGGGGGCGCTCCCCCCCTGCCCCCCCCAGCACGGTCACGGCCCCCACCCCCCCCAGCACACGGATGTGGGGGGTGCAGAGCCCCGCGAGGGCGGCCCAGGATGGGTCCGGGACCTGCAGGAAGCCTGGGGGGGACAAAGGGGTGAATGCAACCCATAGAGACCCCATAGAGACCCCATAGACACCCATAGAGACCCCTTAGAGACCCATAGAGACCCCATAGAGACCCATGGAGCCCATAGAGACCCCATAGACACCCATAGAGACCCCTTAGAGACCCATAGAGACCCCACAGACACCCACAGAGACCCCATAGAGACCCCATAGAGACCCATAGGGACCCATAGAGACCCATAGAGACCCCATAGACACCCACAGACACCCCATAGACACCTACAGAGACCCATAGAGACCCCATAGACACTCATAGACCCCATTAAACCCCCATTAAACCCACATCAGACCCCATTAAACCCCCATTAGATCCCATTACACCCCCATTAGACCCCATTAAACCCCCATCAGACCCCCATTTGACCCCATTAAACCCCAATGAGACCCCCTCGTACATGGGGGCCGCCCACGGGTGATGCCGTGGGTGCTGCGGAGGCTGCGCAGGGCGTGCACGATGCTGAGGGTGAACTCCATGGCGGCCTCGGCCTCCTCATCCTGCCAGCAGTACTGGGGGGGCACAAACAGGGGGGGTCAGGCACCCCAGTGCCCCCCATTGACACACCCATATCGACACACCCCCCCATTGCACCCCATTGACATACCCCCATTGACACACCCCCATTGACACACCCCCCCATTGCACCCCATTGACATACCCCCATTGACACACCCCCATTGACACACCCCCCCATTGCACCCCATTGACATACCCCCATTGACACACCCCCCAGTGCCCCCCATTGACATACCCCCATTGACACACCCCCATTGACACGCCCCCATTGACACACACCCCCATTGCACCCCATTGACATACCCCCATTGACACACCCCCCAGTGCACCCCATTGCACACCCCCCTTGACACACACCCCCCATTGCACCCCATTGACATACCCCCATTGACACACCCCCCCATTGCACCCCATTGACATACCCCCATTGACACACCCCCCCATTGCCCCCCATTGACACCCCCATTGACACCCCCATTGACACCCCCGCATTGCCCCCCATTGCCCCCAATTGACACCCGCGCATTGCCCCCCATTACCCCCCATTGCCCCCCATTGACACCCCCCCCATTGCCCACAGACACCCCCATTGACACTCCCCATTGCCCCCCATTGACACCCCCGCATTGCCCCCTATTGCCCCCATTACCTGCTGGGGCTCGGGGAAGGGGCAGACACAGATGCTGGGGGCTGGTGGGGGTGCGGGGGGCGCGGGGGGGGGCAGGCGCTGCCACAGCTCCTCGCTCAGGAAGGGCATGAAGGGGGCGAGGAGCCGGAGCCCCGCGTCCAGGCACGTGTGCAGCGTGTCCCGCACCGCCAGCGCTGCAGCTGCCGCATCCGCTGCATCCGCTGCATCCGTTGCATCCGCTGCACCCGCTGCATGCATTGCACCCGCTGCATCCGCTGCATGCATTGCACCCGCTGCATCCGCTGCATCCGCTGCACCCGCTGCATCCGCTGCGGCCCCATCAGCATCTATGGGGGGGGCATCAGGTTCCCCCCCGCCTGCGGGGTCCGAGGCAGCGGCTGCTCGAGCCAGAACCGGCTTCACGCACTCCTGAGTGATGGATGGAGAGAGATGGAGACTGCGTGGAGCCACATCCCATATACCCCATATATCCCATATATCCCATACCCTGTATCCCGTATACCCCATACCCCATATCCCATACCCCATATATCCCATACCCCATATACTCAATATCCCATACCCCATACCCCAACTCCTATATACCCCATACCCCATATCACGCATACCCAATACCCCATATCCCATAATCCATACCCCATATCCCATACTCCATGTCCCGTATACCTCATATCTCATGCCCCATACACCCCATATCCCATACCCTATATGCCACACCCCATACCCCATATATCCCATACCCCACACCCCATATACTCAGTACCCCATACCCCATACCCCCCGTACCAGGTACACGTCGCACAGCTCATACACCCAGAACCGGTGCACGGCCGTGGTGGCCCCGGGGAAGTCCAACTCCTCCATGGCGGCGCCCACGGCCCCCACAGCGCGGCTCAGGCGGCTCCGCACCCAGCGCTCAGCCAGGGCCGCCCGGCCCCGCACCTGCCCCACACGCGGGGGTCAGACCCACAGCGCCGGGCCCCAGGGGGACAAACAGAGCCCCCCCCCACAGGTGCCCCTCGCCCCATACCTGGGGATCAGACCCACAGCGCCAGGCCCCAGGGGTGACAAACAGAGCCCCCCCCCCACAGGTGCCCCTCGCCCCATACCTGGAGGTCAGGGGGGGGGCGGTAGCTGCCCCCCAGCGCCTGCAGCACGAACCGGGCCCCGTTCCACACCTTGTTACAGAAGTGCCGGTACCCGAGCACCCGCATCACGTCCAGGTTGATGTCCCGGCCTGGGATGTATGGGGGATACGGGGGATAGGGGGGATATGGGGTATATGGGATATGGGGTATGGGATACAGGATATGGGATATGGGTATGGGGTATGGGATATGGGGTACGGGGCATATGGGATATGGGTAATGGGGCATTGGATATGGGGCATGGGGTATGGGATATGGGGTATGGGGTATATGGGATACGGGGAATGGGGTATTGGATATGGGGTATGGGATATATGGGATATGGGGTATGGGATACAGGGTATGGGATATGGGATATATGGGATATGGGGTATGGGATATGGGGTACAGGGTATATGGGATATGGAATATGGGGTATGGGATATTGGGTATGGGGGATATGGGGTATGGGGTATGGGATATGTGGTACAGGGTATATGGGATATGGGGTATGGGGTATGGCATATAGGGTATAGGGTATGGGGTATAGGGTATGGGGTATATGGGATATGGGGTATGGGGTATTGGATATGGGGTATGGGATAAGGGGTATGGGATAAGGGGTATGGGATATATGGGATATGGGGTATGGGATACACGGTATGGGATATGGGATATATGGGATATGGGATATAAGGGGTATATGGGGTATGGGATATATGGGACATGGGGTATGGGATACAGGGTATGGGATATGGGATGTATGGGATATGGGGTATGGGATATGGGATATAAGGGGTATATGGGATATGGGGTATATGGGCTATGGGACACGGCCCCTACCCTGGGCCGTGTATGCGCACAGAGCAAAGCGCAGCGCATCGGTCCCGCACTCTGGAATCCCGTTGGGGAAGTCCCGTTTCTGCAGGGGGGTCCCACAGGAAGGGGTCAGCGCAGGGCCCCCCTCACCCCCCTCCCAGCCCCACAAGTGCCCCCCTACCTGCCCCTCCCGCGCCCGCTCCAGCTCCGCAGGCTCCAGGTTGCTGCTCTCCAACTGCTCATGCAGGCCCTGCAGGGGACACGGGGTGGGGACCCCATGGACACCCCATGGACACCCCATGGACACCCCATGGACACTCCCATAAACACCTCATAGGCACCCCCCAGACACCCCATAGACACCCCATGGACACCCCACAGATACCCCATAGACACCCCATAGACACCCCATGGACACCCCATGGACACCCCATGGGCACCCCATGGACACCCCATGGACACCCCATGGACACCCCATGGACACCCCATGGACACCCCATAGGCACCCCCCAGACACCCCATAGACACCCCATGGACACCCCACAGACACCCCATAGACACCCCATAGACACCCCATAGGCACCCCATGGACATCCCATAGACACCCCATAGACACCCCATAGACACCCCATAGACACCCCATGGACACCCCATAGACACCCCATGGACACCCCACAGATACCCCATAGACACCCCATAGACACCCCATAGGCACCCCATGGACACCCCATAGACACCCCATAGGCACCCCATGGACACTCCCATAAACACCCCATAAGCACCCCACAGACACCCCATAGACACCCCATGGACACCCCATAGACACCCCATAGACACCCCATGGACACCCCATAGACACCCCATAGACACCCCATGGACACCCCATAGACACCCCACAGACACCCCATAGACACCCCATAGACACCCCATGGACACCCCATAGACACCCCATAGACACCCCATGGACACCCCATAGACACCCCATGGACACCCCATAGACACCCCATAGACACCCCATGGACACCCCATAGACACCCCATAGGCACCCCATGGACACCCCATAGACACCCCATGGACACCCCATGGACACCCCATAGTCCCCCCACCTGCAGGGAGATCCCATGGATCACATCCAGGGGGTCGATGACGTTCCCCAGGGATTTGCTCATCTTCCTCCCGTGTGCATCCCGCACGATGGCGTGGAGGTAAACCTGGGATAGAAGGGATGGGGTGGGGATGGGGTGGGGATGGGGTGGGGATGGGGATGGGGGATGGGGATGGGGATGGGGATGGGGTGGGGTGGGGTGGGGTGGGGATGGGGTGGGGATGGGGTGGGGATGGGGATGGGGATGGGGATGGGATGGGGATGGGCGGGGGAGGGGGTGGGGATGGGGTGGGGGTGGGGATGGGGGATGGGGATGGGGGTGGGGATGGGGTGGGGATGGGGAGGGGATGGGGATGGGGTGGGGAGGGGGTGGGGATGGGGTGGGGGATGGGATGGGGATGGGGTGGGGATGGGGTATGGGATGGGGATGGGATGGGGTGGGGATGGGGTGGGGATGGGGATGGGGTGGGGATGGGGTGGGGATGGGGTGGGGATGGGGTGGGGATGGGGATGGGGATGGGGTGGGGATGGGGTGGGGATGGGGTGGGGATGGGGATGGGGATGGGGATGGGGTGGGGATGGGGTGGGGATGGGATGGGGATGGGGATGGGGATGGGGTGGGGATGGGGTGGGGATGGGGATGGGGATGGGGTGGGGATGGGGATGGGGATGGGGATGGGGTGGGGATGGGGTGGGGATGGGGATGGGGATGGGGATGGGGTGGGGGATGGGGTGGGGAGGGGGGGGGATGGGGTGGGGATGGGGGTGGGGGGGATGGAGGGATGGGGATGGGGTGGGGTGGGGATGGGGTGGGGATGGGGATGGGGTGGGGGGTGGGGGTGGGATGGGGATGGGGTGGGGATGGGGATGGGGATGGGGTGGGGATGGGGATGGGGATGGGGTGGGGATGGGGATGGGGATGGGGTGGGGATGGGGTGGGGATGGGGTGGGGATGGGGATGGGATGGGTGGGGATGGGGATGGGGTGGGGATGGGGTGGGGATGGGGTGGGGATGGGGATGGGGTGGGGATGGGGTGGGGATGGGGATGGGGTGGGGATGGGGTGGGGATGGGGTGGGGATGGGGTGGGGATGGGGATGGGGTGGGGATGGGGTGGGGATGGGGTGGGGATGGGGTGGGGATGGGGTGGGGATGGGGATGGGGATGGGGTGGGGATGGGGATGGGGTGGGGATGGGGTGGGGATGGGGTGGGGATGGGGATGGGATGGGGTGGGGATGGGGTGGGGATGGGGATGGGGATGGGGTGGGGGATGGGGTGGGGATGGGGTGGGATGGGGATGGGATGGGGTGGGGATGGGATGGGGATGGGGATGGGGTGGGGATGGGGTGGGGATGGGGTGGGGATGGGGATGGGGATGGGGTGGGGATGGGGATGGGGTGGGGATGGGGTGGGGATGGGGTGGGGATGGGGTGGGGATGGGGATGGGGTGGGGATGGGGTGGGGATGGGGATGGGATGGGGATGGGGTGGGGATGGGGATGGGATGGGGTGGGGATGGGGTGGGGATGGGGTGGGGATGGGGTGGGGATGGGGTGGGGATGGGGATGGGATGGGGATGGGGTGGGGATGGGGTGGGGATGGGGATGGGGTGGGGATGGGGATGGGGTGGGGATGGGGTGGGGATGGGGTGGGGATGGGGTGGGGGGATGGGGTGGGGATGGGGTGGGGATGGGGATGGGATGGGGATGGGGTGGGGATGGGGTGGGGATGGGGTGGGGATGGGGTGGGATGGGGATGGGGTGGGGATGGGGTGGGGATGGGGATGGGATGGGGATGGGGTGGGGATGGGGTGGGGATGGGGTGGGGATGGGGATGGGGATGGGGTGGGGATGGGGTGGGGATGGGGTGGGGATGGGGATGGGGTGGGGATGGGGTGGGGTGGGGATGGGGTGGGATGGGGATGGGGTGGGGATGGGGTGGGGATGGGGATGGGATGGGGTTGGGATGGGGATGGGGTGGGGATGGGGATGGGGTGGGGATGGGGATGGGGATGGGATGGGGTGGGGATGGGGATGGGGTGGGGATGGGGTGGGGATGGGGATGGGGTGGGGATGGGGTGGGGGATGGGGGGGTGGGGATGGGGATGGGGTGGGGATGGGGATGGGGTGGGGATGGGGTGGGGATGGGGTGGGGGATGGGGTGGGGGGTGGGGATGGGGTGGGGATGGGGTGGGAATGGGGTGGGGATGGGGTGGGGATGGGGTGGGATGGGGATGGGGTGGGGATGGGGTGGGATGGGGATGGGGTGGGGATGGGGTGGGGACGGGGATGGGATGGGGTGGGGATGGGGATGGGGTGGGGATGGGGTGGGGATGGGGTGGGGATGGGGATGGGGTGGGGACGGGGATGGGATGGGGTGGGGGGGGATGGGGATGGGGATGGGGATGGGGATGGGGTGGGGATGGGGTGGGGATGGGGATGGGGTGGGGATGGGGTGGGGATGGGGTGGGGATGGGGATGGGGTGGGGATGGGGTGGGGATGGGGATGGGGTGGGGATGGGATGGGATGGGGATGGGGATGGGGTGGGGATGGGGTGGGGATGGGGTGGGGATGGGGATGGGGTGGGGACGGGGTGGGGATGGGGATGGGGTGGGGATGGGATGGGATGGGGATGGGGATGGGACGGGGATGGGGATGGGGTGGGGATGGGATGGGGATGGGGATGGGACGGGGATGGGGATGGGGTGGGGATGGGATGGGATGGGATGGGGATGGGGATGGGACGGGGATGGGGATGGGGTGGGGATGGGATGGGATGGGGGGTCGGGGGGCTGCGGGGTGGTTTTGGGGGGGGTTTGTGGTGGTTTTGGGGTGTTTCAGGCTGGTTTCAGGTCGGTTTTGGGGCGGTTTTGGGGTGGTTTTGGGGTGATTTTGGGGTGTTTCCGGCTGGTTTTCGGGTGGTTTTGGGGTGATTTTGGGGTGTTTCCTCCTGGTTTTGGGGTGGTTTTGGGGTGTTTCCGGCTGGTATTGGGGCGGTTTTGGGGCGGTTTTGGGGTGTTTCCGGCTGGTTTTGGGGTGGTTTTGGGGTGATTTTGGGGTGTTTCCGGCTGGTTTTGGGGTGGTTTTGGGGTGATTTTGGGGTGTTTCCGGCTGGTTTTGGGGTGGTTTTGGGGTGGTTTTGAGGTGTTTCCGGCTGGTTTTGGGGCGGTTTTGGGGTGTTTTTGGGGTGTTTCCGGCTGGTTTTGGGGTGGTTTTGGGGTGGTTTTGAGTTGTGTTGGGGCTTTGGTGGTTGGGGTGTTTCGGGCTGGTTTTGGGGTGATTTGTGGCGGTTTTGGGGTGATTTAGGGCGGTTTTGGGGCGATTTAGGGCGGTTTTGGGGTGTTTCCGGCTGGTTTTGGGGCGGTTTTGGGGCGGTTTTGGGGTGTTTCCGGCTGGTTTTGGGGCGGTTTTGGGGTGTTTCCGGCTGGTTCTGGGGTTGCGCACCTCGCGGAAGGGCAGCCGCCCGGTCAGCGCCAGCCCCAGCATCACCATCCGCGCCACCCAGAAGAAGAGGATGTCGTGCCCGGTCTCCAGCAGCGTCCCGGGGTAGAACACGTCCAGGTCCTCGCTCTGGGGGGAAACGGGGCTCAGAGACCCAAAAACACCCAAAACCACCCCAAAACTGACCCCAACCCCCCCCCATTGCTGCTCACGGGCTCCGGCCACCCGAAGATGGAGAAGGGGAAGAGGCCGGAGGAGAACCAAGTGTCCAGAACGTCCTCATCTGCGGGGGGGGACAGCTTATGGGGAGCAAGAGAGACCCCCACCTGCTGCCCCCAGTGCCTCCAGTGCCCCCCCATTGCCCCAGTGCCCCCCAGGGCCCCCATTACTCCCGTTACTCCCATTGCCCCCATTGCCCCACATTACCCCATTGCCCCCCATTGTCCTCCCTTGCCCCCATTACCCCCATTACCCCATAGCCCCCATTAGCCCCCATAGCCACCTTTGCCCCCATAGCCCCCATTACCCCCATTGTCCCCATTACCCCATTGACCCCATTACCCCATTACCCCATTGCCCCATTGCCCCCATTACCCCATTGCCCCACTGCCCCCATTACCCCATTGCCCCCCATTACCCCCATTATCCCCCCATTACCCCATTACCCCCATTACCCCCCCATTACCCCATTGTCCCATAGCCCCCATAGCCCCCATTCTGACCCTGCTGCAGGGTCACTCTCTCTGGGGGCACCCGGAACCGTTTCGCTGCCTTCTCTCGCGCCTCCTCCTCGGTCCGGCCGCTCACCCAGAACCTCCCGTCCCCGTCCTGCACAGACCCACAGAGACCATAGAGACCCCATAGAGACCCATAGAGACCCCATAGAGACCCATAGAGACCCCATAGAGACCCATAGAGACCCTATAGAGACCCATAGAGACCATAGAGACACATAGAGACCATAGAGACCATAGAGACCCATAGAGACCCATAGAGACCCCATAGAGACCCATAGAGACCCCATAGAGACCCATAGAGACCATAGAGACACATAGAGACCATAGAGACCATAGAGACCCATAGAGACCCCATAGAGACCCATAGAGGCCCATAGGGACCCATAGAGACCCATAGAGACCATAGAGACCCATAGAGACCCCATAGAGACCCATAGAGACCCCATAGAGACCCATAGAGACCATAGAGACACATAGAGACCATAGAGACCATAGAGACCCATAGAGACCCCATAGAGACCCATAGAGGCCCATAGGGACCCATAGAGACCCATAGAGACCATAGAGACCCATAGAGACCCCATAGAGACCCATAGAGACCCCATAGAGACCCATAGAGACCATAGAGACACATAGAGACCATAGAGACCATAGAGACCCATAGAGACCCCATAGAGACCCATAGAGGCCCATAGGGACCCATAGAGACCCATAGAGACCCATAGAGATACACAGTGGGACCCATAGAGACCCACAGAGCCCTATAGAGCCCCACAGGAACACACAGAGCCCCATAGAGACGCACAGAGTGACCCATGAACCCATGGACGGACCCACACATGACCCCAGCATCAGCCCCAGGGTCAGGGGTCCCACCTCCCCCCTCCAGGCCCCTGACCCACTGCAGCCCCCAACAGCCCCCCCCAGCCCCATAGCACCCCCCCTCACCATAGCACACCCCAGTGCCCCTCCACCCCAGCCATAGAGCACCCCCAGCCCCACAGCGCCCCATAGAAGCCCCATAGCACCCCCCCATACCCATAGCACCCCCCATACCCATAGCATCCCCCAGTCCCCACCCAGCCCCATAGCACCCCCTTCCCCATAGCACCCCCCCAGCCCCATAGTGCCCCATAGAAGCCCCATAGCACCCCCCCAGCCCCATAGCACCCGCCAGTACCCCCCCACCCCATAGCACCCCCCATACCCATAGAGCCCCCCAGCCCCATAGCAACCCATAGAAGCCCCATAGTGCCCCATAGAAGCCCCACAGCACCCCCAGCCCCACACTGACCTTGCCGGGGGGGACGCTGGGGTCCTCGATGGTGATGAAGTAGGCGGGGATGCGGTGGCCCCACCAGAGCTGGCGGGAGATGCACCAGTCCCTGGGGGGGGGACAGGACATTGGGGGCAGCCCCACGGCGTGGGGGGCGCCAGGGGGTCCCCATGGGGCTGTGGGCAGGGGCCACCCCCAAGCAGTGTGGGGCAGGTTCGGGTTGGCTCTAGGGCTCTGTTCTATGGGGCAGCGCCATGTGGGGCACTGCCAGTCAGGTCTATGGCTCAGCTCTATGGGCTTGCAAGGATCAGGACTATGGGTCACGCTGTGGGTCATGCTATGGGTCATGCTATGGGTCACACTATGGGTCACGCTATGGGTCATGCTATGGGTCACGCTATGGGTCATGCTATGGGTCATGCTATGGGTCACAGTGAGTGTCTATGGGTCACAGTGCGTGGCAGTGGGGCACAGTGGGTGTCTGTGGGGCACAGTGTCTGTCTATGGGGCACAGTGTCTGTCTATGGGTGTTTATGGGTGTCTAGGGGTGTCTATGGGGGTCTATGGGGGTCTATGGGTGTCTACGGGGGTCTATGGGGGTCTATGGGGGTCTATGGGGGTCTATGGGTGTCTATGGGGGTCTACGGGTGTCTACGGGGGTCTATGGGGGTCTATGGGGGTCTATGGGGGTCTATGGGGGTCTATGGGGGTCTATGGGGGTCTATGGGCCGCAGTGGGTCCCCCCTCACCGGATGCCGTCCATCCACTGGAGCCAGGTGCGGGCGTGCCCCGGGGGCCGCAGGCGGAGCTCCCCCCCCCGCACGACGGCGGCAGCGGCCGCAGCCAGGGCAGAGCAGCGCAGGAACCACTGCGGGCGCAGGACCGGCTCCAGCACGTCCCGGGAGCGGCTGCGGCACGGGCAGGGCACAGAGAGACCGGGGATGCACCATAGGGACACCATAGAGACACATGGGGTACATAGGGACACATGGGGTACATAGAGACACCATAGAGAGACCATGGGGTACATAGGGACACATGGGGTACATAGAGACACATGGGGGTACATCATAGAGACAGCACAGAGAGGCCATGAGGACACCCCATAGGGACACAGAAAGACACCATAGAGACTCATAGGGACCCCATAGAGACCCCATAGAGACCCATAGAGACCCATAGAGACCCATAGAGACCCATAGAGACCCATAGAGACCCACTGACAACCCGCAGAGACCCCCCAGAGACCCATAGAGACCCCATAGAGACCCATAGAAACCCACTGACACCCCCGAGACCCATAGACACCCCCCGTACCCCACAGCCCCCCCGCCCCCACCTGCACAGCGGCACCACCATGGGGTTCTCGGTGACCCCCCGGAACAGCCCCAGCTCCTTCAGTGCCTCCAGCACCGCGGTGCGGGCCTGGAACCGCGGCATCCCCTGCGGAGACCCATAGAGACCATGGAGAGAGGACCATAGGGACCATAGAGACCATAGAGACCATAGAGACCCATAGAGACCATAGAGCCCATAGAGACCATAGAGACCCCATAGAGACCATAGAGACCATAGAGACCCATAGAGACCATAGAGACCCCATAGAGACCATAGGGACCATAGAGACCCATAGAGACCATAGAGACCCATAGAGATACATAGAGACCATAGGGACCATAGAGACCATAGAGACCATAGAGACCCATAGAGACCATAGAGACCCATAGAGATACATAGAGACCATAGAGACCATAGAGACCCATAGAGACCATAGAGACCATAGAGACCATAGAGACCATAGAGACCCATAGAGATACATAGAGACCATAGAGACCCATAGAGACCCATAGAGACCATAGAGACCCATAGAGAACATAGAGACCATAGAGACCCATAGAGATACATAGAGACCATAGAGACCATAGAGACCCATAGAGACCCATAGAGACCATAGAGACCATAGAGACCCATAGAGACACATACAGACCATAGAGACCCATAGAGACCATAGAGACCCATAGAGATCCACAGGGAGAGACCCATAGAGACCCATAGAGACCCATAGAGATCCATAGAGATCCACAGAGATCCATAGAGACCATAGAGACCCATAGAGACCCATAGGGAGAGACCCATAGAGCCCATAGAGCCCCCATAGATCCCACAGGGCCCCATAGATCCCCCCGAGCCCCCCAGCGCGCCGTGGGGCGCCCCACGCACCAGGAAGGGGGGGGGCACGTCCCGCAGCCGCCCCTCATCGTCCAGGATGCAGGGGGCCGGGAGCCGGTGCCGCTGCCCCACCTCGAAGTCGGTGGCGTCGTGCCCAGGGGTGACCTTGACCGCGCCTGGGGGACAGCAGGAGCCACACAGAGCACATAGAGTCCATAGAGACCCATAGAGCCCCCATAGCCCCCCGTAGACCCCCCACAGCCCCCCATAGAGCCCCCATATCCCCCCCATTCCCCCATAGCCCCTCCATATCCCCCCATAGCCCTCACCAGTGCCGAACTGGGGGTCCACGAAGGGGTCGTGCAGCACCGGGAGCCTCTGGCCCGTGAATGGGTGAAGGACGAAGCGGCCATGGAGGTGCTGGGGGAAGGGGGGGGGAATGGGCGGGGCTTGTCGCGACATGGCCACTCCCACTCCATAGACACAAACCCCGCCCCCTAGGGATGAAGCTGCGCCCCCATTGGCTGAAGTGCCCGCCCCTCACCGTGTACCGGGGGTCCTCGGGGTGCACGGCCACCGCCACATCCCCCAGCATCGTCTCCAGCCGCGTCGTGGCCACCACCAGCTCCTGCCCCTGCTCCTGCCCCTCCCCTGGGGGGCCAGACCCACACATGAGCCGCTATGGGGCAGCCCCATAGAGCCCCCTCTATGGGTCCCCCCATAGAGCCCCGCTACGGGTCCCCCCCATAGAACCCCCCCTATGGGTCCCCCCCATACAGCCCCCGCTATGGGTCCCCCCATAGAGCCCCCGCTATGGGTCCCCCCCATAGAGCCCCCGCTATGGGTCCCCCCCATAGAGCCCCCGCTATGGGTCCCCCCATAGAGCCCCCGCTATGGGTCCCCCCATACAGCCCCCGCTATGGGTCCCCCCCATAGAACCCCCGCTATGGGTCCCCCCCATAGAGCCCCGCTGTGGGTCCCCCCCATAGAGCCTCGCTATGGGTCCCCCCCATAGAGCCCCGCTGTGGGTCCCCCCTCACCGCTGCCCTCCAGGGGGTAGGCAAAGGCCACCAGGACCCCGAACTCCACCGGCTCCTCATAGCCCGGGACCCGCAGCAGCGTCCGGCCCGAGAGCTCCCGCTTCTCTACCTATGGAGCCCATAGCGACCCACACTGACCCACACTGACCCACACTGACCCACACTGACCCACACATTGACCCACACTGACCCACACTGACCCACACTGACCCACACTGACCCACACTGACCCACACATTGACCCACACTGACCCACACTGACCCACACTGACCCACACTGACCCACACATTGACCCACACTGACCCACACTGACCCACCGTGACCCACACTGACCCACACTGACCCACACATTGACCCACACTGACCCACACTGACCCACCGTGACCCACACTGACCCACACAATGACACACATTGACCCACAGTGACCCACCGTGACCCACACTGACCCACACTGACCCACCGTGACCCACACTGACCCACACTGACCCATACATTGACCCACACTGACCCACCGTGACCCACACTGACCCACACAATGACACACATTGACCCACAGTGACCCACCGTGACCCACAGTGACCCACAGTGACACACATTGACCCACCGTGACCCACAGTGACCCACAGTGACCCACCGTGACCCACACAGTGACCCACATTGACCCCCGTTACCTCGATGTCGGATATGGCCGAGCGCAGGGCGCAGCTCCAGTGCACCAGGCGGGTGCTGCGGTAAATGAGGCCCTGCTCGTGCAGCCGCACGAAGGCCTCGCACACGGCGCGGCTCATCTTCTGTGGGGCAGGGGTCAGGCACAGCCCCATAGACACCCCACAGACACCCCATAGAGACCCCATAGACACCCCACAGACCCCATCAGCCCCACAGACCCCTCCCACAGACACATAGATCCATTCCCCAGCCCCATAGACCCACATTGTGCCACAGAGACCCCCCCAGCCCCATAGACCCCCCAGCCCCATAGACACCCCAGCCCCATAGACCCCCCAGCCCCATAGACCCCCACCAGCCCCATAGACACCCCAGCCCCATAGACCCCCCAGCCCCACAGACCCCCCAGCCCCATAGACCCCCCCCAGCCCCATAGACCCCCCCCAGCCCCATAGACACCCCAGCCCCATAGATCTCCTCACGGGGTCCATGGTGAAACAGGCCCGGTCCCAGTCCATGGAGGCCCCCAACTGCCGGAGCTGCTGGTAGATGCGGTCACCCTTCCTGCGAGAGGGGGCAGCCAAGGGGTGGTTGTGGGGCAGGGGGGGGCTGTAGGGGGCTGTAGGGCACCGTAGGCATTGGCCATAGGGAAGCCATGGGGCACGCCATGGGTCAGAGGGCAGGGGTCACTATGGGGCAGCTGTGGGTCGCAATGGGTCGCTATGGGTCGCAATGGGTCGCTATGGGTCGCCGTGGGTCACTCACTCTTGCTTCCAGGCCCACACCTCCTGCAGGAAGCGCTGCCGCCCCAGCTGGTGCCGCGTGAGGCCCCGCGTGCGCCAGAGCCGCCGCTCCACCACCACCTGCGTGGCGATGCCGGCGTGGTCGCAGCCCGGGTTCCAGAGCGTCGTCAGCCCCCGCATGCGGTGCCTGCAGTGGGAAGGGGGGGCACGGTGTGGGGCGGGCGCTGTGGGGCAGGCGCTGTGGGGCGCTGTGGGGCAGGCGCTATGGGGCGCTGTGGGGCACTGTGGGGCTCACCAGCGCGCGAGGCTGTCCTGGATGGCGCTGGTGAGCGCGTGGCCCAGGTGCAGCGCTCCGGTGACGTTGGGGGGGGGCACGCACATCATGAACACCCCCCGAGGGTTGGGCTCCGAGACGCGGCTCCGCTGCGGCACAGGGACCCTGGCACCGCCGGGCACGGCAGGGACCGGAACCCCCCCCACCCCGTGGCAACGGGGATGGAACCGGGGCCAGTGCCCAGGGCCCGGTACCAGTACCCAGTGCCCAGTACCACTACCCAGTACCCAGTGCCCAGTGCCCAGTACCCAGTGCCCGGTACCCAGTGCCCGGTACCATGACCCAGTACCCAGTACCCAGTGCCCAGTACCCAGTACCCAGTGCCCAGTGCCCAGTACCCAGTGCCCAGTACCCAGTGCCCGGTACCCAGTGCCCGGTACCCAGTACCCAGTGCCCAGTACCCAGTGCCCAGTGCCCAGTACCCAGTACCCAGTGCCCGGTACCCAGTGCCCGGTACCATGACCCAGTGCCCAGTACCCAGTGCCCAGTGCCCAGTACCCAGTGCCCGGTACCCAGTACCCAGTGCCCGGTACCCAGTGCCCGGTACCCAGTACCCAGTGCCCGGTACCCAGTGCCCGGTACCCAGTACCCAGTGCCCGGTACCAGTACCCAGTGCCCAGTGCCCAGTACCCAGTGCCCGGTACCCAGTGCCCGGTACCATGACCCAGTACCCAGTACCCAGTGCCCAGTACCCAGTACCCAGTGCCCAGTGCCCAGTACCCAGTGCCCAGTACCCAGTGCCCGGTACCCAGTGCCCGGTACCCAGTACCCAGTGCCCAGTACCCAGTGCCCAGTGCCCAGTACCACTACCCAGTACCCAGGGCCCGGTACCAGTGCCCAGTACCCAGTGCCCGGTACCCAGTACCCAGTGCCCAGTGCCCAGTACCACTACCCAGTACCCAGTGCCCGGTACCCAGTACCCAGTGCCCAGTACCACTACCCAGTACCCAGTGCCCAGTGCCCAGTACCACTACCCAGTACCCAGGGCCCGGTACCAGTACCCAGTACCCAGTGCCCGGTACCCAGTACCCAGTACCCAGTACCCAGTGCCTGGTACCAGTACCTGGTACCAGTACCCAGTACCCAGTGCCCGGTACCCAGTACCCAGTGCCCAGTACCCAGTGCCCAGTACCACGACCCAGTACCCAGTACCCAGTGCCCAGTACCCAGTGCCCAGCGCCCGGTACCGGTACTAGTACCCGGTACCAGTACCCAGTAACCGGTACCAGTACCTGGTACCAATACCCAGTACCTAGTACCCAGTACCCAGTACCCGGTACCTAGTACCCAGTGCCCGGTACCCAGTACCCGGTGCCCGGTACCCAGTACCCAGTACCCGGTACCCGGTACCCAGTACCCAGTGCCCGGTACCCAGTACCCAGTACCCAGTACCCGGTACCCGGTACCCAGTACCCAGTGCGCGGTACCCAGTACCCAGTACCCAGTACCCGGTACCCAGTACCCAGTACCCAGTACCCGGTACCCGGTACCCAGTACCCAGTGCGCGGTACCCAGTACCCGGTACCCAGTACCCAGTACCCGGTACCCAGTACCCAGTGCCCAGTACCCAGTGCCCGGTACCGTGCGGGCTCACCCCGTACTCGGGCTTGAAGAAGCCCTGCTGCTCCCACCAGCTGTACCAGGCGGCCTCCACATAGCGGGGGCTGTAGGAGGGGGGCAGCGGCACCGACACATCTGTGGGGAGAGGGGAGTGGGGTGCATGGGGTGTGGGGCATATGGGGTGTATGGGATAGGGGGTATGGGGTATATGGGGTATGGGATATGGGGTATGGGGTATATGGGGTATGGAATACAGATATAGAGACATGGGATATGGAGTATGGAATATGAGATATGGGATATATGGGGTATTGAATATGGATATAGGGATATGGGATATGGAGTATGACATATATGGGGTATGAAATACAGATATAGAGATATGAGATACGGAGTATGGAATATGAGATATGGGGTATTGAATATGGATATAGGGATATGGGGTATGATATATATGGGGTATGGGATATGGATATGGGATATATGGGGTATGGGATATGGGGTATGGGGTATATGGGATAGGGATATAGGGATATGGGATATGGGGTATGGGATATGGGGTATGGGATATATGGGATATGAATATAGGGATATGGGATATGGAGTATGGGATATATGGGGTATGGGATATGGGGTATGGGATATATGGGGTATGGGATATGGGGTATGGGGTATGGATATAGGGATATGGGCTGTGGGACAGGGGTGCCCCCCCCTCACCTTTCTTCTGCCCCGGGGGGGTCTCGAGGTCATAGGTCACTACCCCAGGGGGGCGGCGCTGCCGGCGGGAGGGCGGAGCCTGTGGAGACCACGTGACTTGTGTGACCCACATGGACCCCCCGAGACCCATAGGGGCCCATAGAGACACAGAGACCTGCCACGGGTCAGCGCCCTATGGGTCTCTATGGGCACTCTATGGGTCTCTATGAACCCCTCTATGGGTCTCTTGGGCACTCTATGGGTCTCTATGAGCACTCTATGGGTCTCTATGGGTCACTCTATGGGTCTCTATGGGGTCTCTATGAGTCTCTGTGGGTCTCTATGGGTCTCTATGGGCACTCCATGGGTCTCTATGTGTCTCTATGGTCTCTATGGGTCTCTATGGGGTCTCTATGGGTCTCTATGGGTCTCTGGTTCTCTATGGGCACTCTATGGGCACTCTATGGGTCTCTATGGTCTCTACGGGTCTCTATGGGTCTCTATGGTCTCTATGGGTCTCTATGGGTCTCAATGGGTTGCTCTATGGTCTCTATGGGTTGCTCTATGGGTCTCTATGTGTCTCTATGGGTCTCTATGGTCTCTATGGGTCTCTATGGTCTCTATGGGTCTCTATGGTCTCTATGGGTCTCTATGGTCTCTATGGGTCTCTATGGTCTCTATGGGTCTCTATGTGTCTCTATGGTCTCTATGGTCTCTACGGGTCTCTATGGTCTCTATGGGTCTCTATGGTCTCTATGGTCTCTATGGTCTCTATGGGTCTCTATGGTCTCTATGGGTCTCTATGTGTCTCTATGGTCTCTATGGTCTCTATGTGTCTCTATGGTCTCTATGGTCTCTATGGTCTCTATGGTCTCTATGGTCTCTATGTGTCTCTATGGTCTCTCTATGGGTCTCTATGGTCTCTATGGTCTCTATGGGTCTCTATGGGTCTCTATGGTCTCTATGGGTCTCTATGGGTCTCTATGGTCTCTATGGTCTCTATGGGTCTCTATGGTCTCTATGGTCTCTATGGTCTCTATGGTCTCTATGGTCTCTATGGTCTCTATGGGTCTCTATGGTCTCTATGGGTCTCTATGGTCTCTATGGTCTCTATGGTCTCTATGGGTCTCTATGGTCTCTATGGGTCTCTATGGTCTCTATGGGTCTCTATGGTCTCTATGGTCTCTATGGGTCTCTATGGTCTCTATGGGTCGCTCTCTCCTCACCTGCTGCTCCCGGATCTTTTCCTGTTTCTGTTGGAATTTCTCCAGTTTCTCCCGTTTTTTCGCCTCCTTCTTCAGCTGCGCCGCGCTCTTGGCTGGGGGAGGGGCGGCCTGCCCCATAGCGGCCTGCCCCATAGCGGCCTGCCCCATAGCAGCCTGCCCCATAGCGGCCTGCCCCACAGCATCATCCTGCTCCACGGTTTCCAGCCCCAGGGCTCCCAGGTCCACTGTGGAAAGAACCAAGTCTCATCCCCAGCCCCCGATCCCCCCCAGCCCCACACCCGCCCCATGGCACTCACGCTGTGGGGCAGGGGCCTCGTCCCCGCCCAGCCCCACATCTCCCAGCACCGCCCGGAACTGGGGCAGCCGCACGCAGGCCTTGAACCAGCGCCCGACGTTGGGGACGGTGGCGACGGTGGCAGCGTCCAGGACCTGGGGCAAAGACGGGGATGTGGGTATGGGATGCAGGGATGGGGGGTAGGGGGTATGGGATAGGGGATAGGGCCTATGGGGTATGGGGATATAGGGACAGGAGCTATGGGGTATGGGATATAGGGATAGGGGCTATGGGGTATGGGATATAGGGATAGGGGATATGGGGTATGGGATATAGGGATAGGAGCTATGGGGTATGGGGATATAGGGACAGGAGCTATGGGGTATGGGATATAGGTATAGGGGCTATGGGGTATGGGATATAGGGATAGGGGATATGGGGTATGGGATATAGGAATAGGAGCTATGGGGTATGGGATATAGGGATAGGGGATATGGGGTATGGGGATATAGGGATAGGAGCTATGGGGTATGGGATATAGGAATAGGGGATATGGGGTATGGGGATATAGGGATAGGGGATATGAGGTATGGGGATATAGGGATAGGGGATATGGGGTATGGGGATATAGGGATAGGGGATTTGGGGTATGGGGATATAGGGATAGGGGATATGGGGTATGGGGATATAGGGATAGGGGATACAGGGATAGGGGCTATGGGGTATGGGCTAGGGGATACAGGGATACAGGAATATGGGACACAGGGATAGGGGCTATGGGATATGGGGTACGGGATACGGGACACAGGGATATCGGGTATGGGATATGGGCTATCTGGCATGGGGTATATAATATGGGATACAGAGATATGGGGTATGGAATATAGGATATGAGACACAGGAATATGGGGTACAAGGTACGGGACATGGGATATACAATATGGAATATGGGATACACAATGCAGGACACAGAGACATGGGATACAAGGTATCGAACATGGAATATACAATATGGGATATGGGATATAAGGTATGGGACATGGGATACAGGGATATGGGATATACAATAGAGGACACAGGGCTATGGGCTCTGGGCCATGGGATACACAATGTGGGCTATGGGATATACAATAGAGGACACAGGGCTATGGGCTATGGGATATACAATAGAGGACACAGGGCTATGGGCTATGGGATATACAATAGAGGCCACAGGGCTCTGGGCTATGGATATAGGGCTATGGGCTCTGGGCTATGGGATACACCATACGAGCTATGGGCTATACAATAGAGGCCACAGGGCTCTGGGCTATGGATATAGGGCTCTGTGCTCTGGGGTGCGGGGGGTGCTCACGTGCTGGCAGGGCCCCAGCAGGACGCAGGTCAGGGTCACATCGGCCAAGGTGACGCCAGCGCCCACCAGGAACGGGCGCTCCCGGAGGTGGGAATCGAGCGCCCGGAGAGCGCGGAGCAGCTCCTGGTGAGCCCGGGCCCGGGCCTGCGGGGACACCGGGACAGGGCCCATAGAGACACACAGAGACCCATAGAGACACATAGAGACACATAGAGACCATAGACACACATAGAGACCCCGTAGAGACACATAGAGACCCCATAGAGACCCCGTAGAGACACACAGAGACCCATAGAGACACATAGAGACCCCATAGAGACCCCGTAGAGACACACAGAGACCCATAGAGACCCATAGAGACACATAGAGACACATAGAGACCCCGTAGAGACACACAGAGACCCATAGAGACACATAGAGACCCCATAGAGACCCCGTAGAGACACATAGAGACCCCACAGAGCCCCCATAGAAAAGCCATAGAGACCCCATAGAGCCCCCCATCCCCTCGCCGTTACCTTTGGCTCCCCCCCCGCGGCGATGGTCGCGGCCGGCGCCACCTCCCTCTCGGCGAAGCTCACCCATTGGCGGACGAGGGCGCGAGGGCCGGGGTCGCTGCCCCCGAGCAGCTCCGGGGGGCTCACGAAGAGCGCGGCGGGGCCCGGCCCGCGCAGGAGCGCCCCCTGCGGGGTGCGCAGCGCAAGCCCCGCCCCCGAGCGCACCACGCGCAGTGCGGGGGGGGGCGGCCCCGCGAAGAGAGCGGCGATGAGGACCCGGCGGGAAGCGGCGTCCGCGGGGGGGGGAGGCAGGAACAGCAGAGAGGGGGGGGCCGGAGGGGGCATGGCTGGGGGGGGGGAAAGGGTGAGTGGGGGGGTATGGGGGTACTTAGGGGGGTAATGGGGGTATGGGGTACTTGTGGGGCTGGGGGGTAATGGGGGTATGGGGTACTTGTGGGGCTGGGGGGGTAATGGGGGTATGGGGTACTTGTGGGGCTGGGGGGCAATGGGGGTATGGGGTACTTGTGGGGCTGGGGGGGTAATGGGGGTATAGGGTACTTGTGGGGCTGGGGGTACTTGTGGGGCTGGGGGGGTAATGGGGCTATAGGGTACTTGTGGGGCTGGGGGGGTAATAGGGGTATGGGGTATTTGGGGCTGGGGAGATAATGGGGGTATGGGGTACTTTTGGGGCTGGAGAATACTTGTGGGGCTGGGGGGTTAATGGGGGTATAGGGTACTTGTGGAGCTGGAGGGTACTTGTGGGGCTGGGGGGGTAATGGGGGAATGGGGTTCTTGTGGGGCTGGGGGGTGTTAATGGGGCTGGAGGGTTAATGGGACTGGAAGGTACTTGTGGGGCTGGGGGGGTTAATGGGGGCTATGGCGTACTTATGGGGCTGGGGGTACTTGGGGGGGCTGGAGAGGTCCTGGGGGAGCCCTTTGGGGACAGAAGGAACCGGAGGGGGGAGGAAACGTAGGGGCTGCGGGGTCCTTATGGGTCTGAAGGGCACCAGAGGATGGGAACCGGGGCCTTGGGGGGCAGTTGTGGGGCAGAAGGTACCGTGGGGGGCAGTTGGGGGGGAGAAGGTACCGGGGGGGGGGGCACTTGGGGGTCTGGAGGCGCTGGAGGGGGGGGGGTGTCTCCCGATGGTGTCACGGGATCCCAGTGTGTTCCCCCCCGCCCCCGGTACCTGCGGCTGAAGCGGTGGCGGCGGCGGGACGAGACACGTGGGGCGGGGAGCGCAGGCGCAGGCGCGGGACGACGCCCTCCCATTGGCTACGGCTGACTGGATGGGCGGGGCTTCCTCCAGCAACAAGAGGCGAGTAAAGCAGAGCGGCGGCGCGACGCCCGCAGCGCTCCCTAGCGGCTGGGAGGTATAGCCCCCCCCGTTAATAAAGCGGGGTTTTGGGGAGCCCCAAATCCACCGGAAACCGCCCCAAAATCATCGCCGTACACACACACAGAGAGAGAGAGAGCGGGCATCGTGTTTATTGAGGGGCGGTTGGGTGTTTTAGTGCGGTTTGGGGTGTTTTAGGGCCATTTTGGGGTGGTTTGGTTGCTTTGGGGGTGGTTTGGGGTGGTTTGGCGGTGTTTTTGGGGTGTTTTTGGTGGTTTTGGGGCGGTTCCAGCCGCAATCACTGCTTCTGCTGCAGCGCCTCCTTGCGGGCCGCGTCCTGCAGCAGCTGCGTGTCCACCTCGTCCGCAGGGAGCTGCACGTAGCGAACCACGGAGCCGCGGATGAAGCAGTTCTTGACCGACAGCTGGGGGGCGCCAGAGACACGTGGAGACCCCGTAGGGACACAGGGAGACCCATAGGGACACAGGGAGACCCCGTAGGGACACAGGGAGAGCCCACAGGGACACAGGGAGAGCCCACAGGGACACACGGAGACCCCGTAGGGACACAGGGAGAGCCCATAGGGACACAGAGAGACCCCGTAGGGACACACGGAGACCCATAGGGACACAGGGAGAGCCCACAGGGACACAGGGAGAGCCCATAGGGACACAGAGAGACACCATAGAGACACACGGAGACCCATAGGGACACAGGGAGAGCCCACAGGGACACACAGAGGCTCCACAGGGACACACGGAGACCCCACAGGGACACACGGAGACCCCATAGGGACACACAGAGACCCCATAGAGACACATGGAGACCCCACAGGCACACATGGACACCCCATAAGGACACACAGGGACCTCATAGGGACACACAGAGACCCCACAGGGACCAAACAGGGACATCTAGGGGCACCCCTGGACTCTGTGTTTGGGTGAGAGACCCCAGGACCACCCCCAAAGGACTCCAGTATCAAATGGGGATGCACCCAGGGACCTCCCAGACCCTACAGACACAAATAGAGACCCCCAGACCCCCTCCCAAAACCCCCCAGAGACCCCATGGACCCCCCACACCCCCCCCCACACCCTTCTTACCCCCCTGTCCCCCCATAAACCCCTCACAGCCCCATGGGGGGGGGCCCTCACCATGTGCGGGTACTTCTCGGGGTCGGTGACACTGATGTCCGTCAGCTTAATGTTGAGGTACTGGGGGGGGGTTAGAGACGTCATGGATCCCCCCGCAGCCCCACAGATACCCCCATTGACCCTCCAGAGCCCCACAGATGCCCCCAGAGCACCATAGATGTCCCCAGAGCACCATAGATGTCCCCAGAGCCCCATAGGTACCCTCAGAGGCCCCCAGATGCCCTCAGAGTGCTCCCCAGAGCCCCCCAGATGTCCCCAGAGCCCCACAGATGCCCTCAGAGCCCCCCAGATCCCCACAGATAAGTCCCAGGGCCCCATAGATGCCCCCAGAGCCCCCCCAAGAGCCCCATAGGTCCCCCCTCCCTGCCCCACAGCTCCCCCCATACCTGATCCACTGAGTGCAGGGTCCCACAGATGCTGCAGAGAGAAACGGCGGCTCAGGGGGGCCCAGATGTGGGGCTCTATGGGGGGGCTGTTCATGGGGACTACAGGGAGGTATGGGGGCTCTAGGGGGTCTCTATGGGGCCGCGCTCACCTGAGGTCGTTCTTGAGCTCCACCACCACGTCCTTCCCCACCAGGGACTTAAAGAAGGAGTAGAAGAGCTGCGGGGGGGGGGGGCAAGGGGGGGGGTCACCGCGAGGTCACCGCGGGGTCACGAACCCCCCCCCCCCGGTCCCGCTCTCACCATCCCGGCCGCTGCCTCCCGCCAGCCGCGCGCCCCGCGCTGGCCACGCCCCCTTCCGCTGCCGGGGACACGCCCACTTCCCGCTTTGACCACGCCCCTCCCCCGTCCGCGCCGCTGTTGGCCACGCCCTCTTCCGCCGAGGCCACGCCTCCCCGGACGCGGGGGCAGCGCGGGAAGTGACTCACCCGCCCCCCTCGTCGGGACAGGGGCAAAGGTCAAGAGGAGGGGCCGGGGGGGGCACCCGCACGTGTGTCACGTGTGTGCCCCGTGTCACGTGTCACACATGTCACACGTCACACATGTCATACATGTCATACATGTACACATGCCCCCCCCCATAACGCCCCTATGGCCGATGTGTGACATACATGTGCAGCACAGCCCCCATGTCCCATGTCCCACATCCCGTGTCCCATGTCCCACATCCCGTGTCCCGTGTCCCACATCCCGTGTCCCACATCCCGTGTCCCGTGCCCCATGTCCCTCCCATCCCGCACATCCCACGCTGGGCAGGACCCGGGTGGGGACGGACCGGGTCGACCGGCCCCGTGGTGGCCCCGTCACCGGCCCCGTCACCCATCACTGTCACCAGCACCGGCCCCAGCGCCCACCATGGGCATTTAAGGGGAGCCCCACGGTCCCACAGCACCCACAGGACCTTCAGGTGAGCAGGGGGATACGGGGATATTGGGATACGGGATACAGGGGTATAGGGATACGGGATAGGGGATGTGGGACACGGGATGCGGGTCTGACCCCCATGTCCCCGGCTATGGACCAGGATGTGCTCCGGTGCTCAGTGCCTGGTGAATCTCCTGCGCTGGATCTGGGGCATCGTGCGGCGCCTCTGGGGGGGGCACGGAGGTGAGTGGTACCCATGGGGGGGGTATGGATCCCATAAGGGGTATGGATCCCATGGGGGGGTATGGATCCCATGGGGGGTTATGTATCCCATGGAGGCGTAGGGATCCCATAGGGGGTATGGATCCCATAAGGGGTATGGATCCCATAGGGGGTATGGAACCCATGGAGGGGTATGGATCACATAGGGGGTATGGATCCCCTAGGGGGTACACCCTGGGGGGGCAAGGTCATTGCTGACTCTTCCCCTTTCTCTCCCCCCCCCCCAGTGACGCCCCCGCCTCCCCCTGCGGCTGAGAGAAGGACGCTGGTGCCAGACAAGGAGGACTGAGCCCCCCCCTCGGGCCTGACTCCCCCCCATGGGGACCTTGAACCCCCCCATAGAGACCCTGAACCCCACTGGGAGCACTCCAGGCAATAAATAACCTTGAAGCCACGTCCATGGCTGTCTGTGTGGGGAATGGGGATGCTCGTCCCCATCCCATCCTCATCCCCATCCCCATCCCCATCCCCATCCCACCCCCATCCCCATCTCCATCCCCATCCCACCCCCATCCCCATCCCATCCTCATCCCCATTCATCCCCATCTCCATCCCCATCCCACCCCCATCCCCATCCCATCCTCATCCCCATTCATCCCCATCTCCATCCCCATCCCATCCCCATGGTAACCATCATCACCCCATGGCAATGGGGGGGCGATGGGACGAGGACCCCTTTCAGATGCTGGTAGATGGGGCTGGAGGTGCCACCCCCTCCATATCAGTGCCAGGAAGGCATCAATCAGCGCTAATGACCCTGACGAGCCGCACCCGGCTCCTCCGTGACTCATTCCCTGCCTGATCCTGGCTCTGTCCCATCCCTGTGGATCCACCCCAGTTCCCCATGTCCCCATGTCCCCATCTCCCCGTGTCCCCGTGTCCCCGTGTCCCCATGTCCCCATCTCCCCGTGTCCCCGTGTCCCCGTGTCCCCATGTCCCCGTGTCCCCGTGTCCCCGTGTCCCCATCTCCCCGTGTCCCCGTGTCCCCGTGTCCCCGTGTCCCCATGTCCCCGTGTCCCCGTGTCCCCATGTTCCCAGTCCTGGCTCCAATCCGTTTCCTCCCCTTTGCATCCCATTTACCCATTGGACTGGTCGCACTGGGCTGGGGACAGATCCCGGCTCCCGGTGGATGCTCCAGGGAACCCCTGGAGGACCCCCCCCCCCCCCAAAACTCCCCTTTTTTTTTTTTTTGCAGCTTGATGGGAATGAATGTGTGGATTTGGGGTAAAATCAGGGGAAAACGGGATCGTCCGGGGCTTGGGAGGAGGGAAGCGGCAGGAGCCGCTGCTCCCACGAGGGGGCTCCTGCTCTCCATAGACCCGGCTTTTCCCTCAGCTGGGATGCCAAACCTCACCTGGATCGGGAAGGACTCACCTCAACAGCCTCGAATTCCATAGGGAATGGCGCTGTTAACCCGATCCTCGCCTCCAGCCGGGAAAACGTTTTAAGATCGTATGAAAACGTTCCTGGAGGCCCCAGATCAGAGCCCGGATTCCCGTTTTATCCCCCTTTCCCGTGCTCCTGGCGCCTGGAGAAGTGGGATTTCAGATAATAATTGGAATAATTGGATACTGTGATTAACATCCTGTTAATATGGGTCTGAGGGAGATGGTTGCCTTAGGAGGGGATAAGGGATAAAATGGAATAAATGAGATAAATGGGATAAAACGGAATCCATGGGATAAAGCAGAATGTTTTAACTTCCAGGCGTTGCTCCTAATGCCCTTCCCAAGGGCTGGGATCTGCTCCAGGGTAAAGGAAGTAAATGGGAAGAACCGGGACACTTTATCCTTGGAAACCTTCTGAGCATCCCTGCTTATTCCTCCCTCCATCCCGATTTATTCCTCTATCCCAACCTGGATCCTCGGCTCCACCTCGTCCCTATAGGGGCAAATAAACCCCCATTGATTGGATGAACCCCTAATGATCCATATGGATTTGAGCCGGGGGAGGGCAGAGGGATGGGGCGCAAGGTGGGGGGGGTAGGAAGGGGTTAAGGTCCCAATCCCTTAGGAAAAGCCATCGGGAAGCTGCTGGCTTTGGAACAATGGGAGGAATAGCCCGGGTGGCAGCTCTACCCCCTGCGGGGTGCAGGGGAGAAACCCCCCTGATCCCAACCTGAAGCCCCGCGATTCCAGGCGCTGGGAATGGGATCCTGGATCAGCCATCACTTGGCATCCCCGCAGCTCCATTGGTGCTGCGCTTCCCGGGATGGGGCTCAGGGCTGCGGATGCTCCACCCTGGGACAGCCCCGGGGCTTTTCCAGCTGAATGGGATGGATGGATGGATGGGCCATCAGGAGCCGCTGATCGGTGGGGGGGGGGTGTTGATTCCCTCGGGGAAAAGGAGGAGTTTTTCCATAGAAATGAACAACTGGAGCTCGTATTCCCGGTTTTTGACCCGTTTTCTCCCGGGTTTGATCCTTTTCCCATGCTGGTCCCTTCTTTCTCCCCTGCTTCCCGGTGGGTTTGGTCCCCAGGGATGTGGTGGCTGGACCTGGATCCGCAGGGATGCGCATCTCCAGGTCCCAATTCACAGGGATGAGCATCTCCAGGTCCCAATTCCCCAGGGATGCGCATCTGAGGTCCCAGTTCCCCAGGGATAAACGTCTGGTTAAAAGGGGAGTAAAAGCGGGGTAAGAAAGGGGGAAAGACGGGATAAAAAGGAGGGAAAGAGGGAAAACCGGTGGGAAAAGGTGGGGGGGGGGAAGGGGAAACTCTCGGAAAAGGCGTTTTCCACCCCAAAGCCGGTGGGGGGTGGGTGGCTCCCGCCGGGTCCCTCCCCCCGTCCAGGCCATGGCCGCGCTGGAGCGGGCCCAGGTACGGGGCGTCCGGAGCCGCGTTAATTCCGCGCCTTCCCCCGCGTTTGTCCCGTTCCTCCCGCGTGCGTTCCCGTTCGATGCGCCCCGGGAACGGCGCAAACCCGCGCTTCCCGGGGGGAATCCCTCGGGATTCGTTCGGGTTCGCACCTTTGGCTCGGGTCGGTCCGGATGGGTTCGAGGTCTGGGGAGAAATCTCGTTTGTTCCTCTTTAACCTCAGTTCTTCGGGTTTAGTTTTCATTCGGGTTTAATTATTTTGGGGGGGGGGGTTAATTCGTCATTTTTTTAAAATTTGGTCTTCAGGGGTTGGAGTTTTTAAATTTTTTTATACTTTGGTTCTTTGGGGGCTTTTTTTTTTTTATTTGGTTTTTGGCTCTTTCCAGTTTTGGGGGTGGTTTCTTCTTTTTCTTTTTTTTTTTCTTTTTTTTTTTTTTTGTTCATTGGGACTTTTAAAATCTACTTTAATTCTTTTTCATAATTACTACTTTTGTGGGTTTTTTTAATTTTGATTCTTTGTGGGTTTGGGCTTTTTTTCTATTTTTTTTCCCTTTTTTAAAAATCAATTTTGAGGGTTTTGGGGGTGGGGGTTGTGGGGTTTTTGTGCTTTTCTCTTCCCTTTCCCCGCTCTGCCGGTTACGATCGCCCCCGGTTTCGTTCCGGAGTTCTCCCCAGATCCCTGTCCCCATCTCCCTCCCTCCCCTCAGGTGCCGGAGGCGCTGCTGGAGGTCACGATTCCCACCTCCATCCCCGGCGCGGAGCAGCCGGGTCCTTCCTGCGCCCCAGCCCCGTCAGGTAGGACCCCAACCCAAAAAGGGCTGAAATCGCCCCAAAAAGGGTTCACATTTCCACCAGAAGAGCTAAAACTGCGCCCCAGAAAATTCACAGGGGAGATCCCCGGTGGGATGGGGGTACCCTGGAGGGATGGGGGATCCTACCTGGAGCCGGACCCACAGCGCCCTCTCCCGACGGCTCCTGGCCGCTGCAACGGGACCCTTTGACGGGGATGGAGGAGGAGGCTCCAGGTCTCTTCCAGCCGGGAAACGGGAGCTGTGGGATCCAGGTGGGAAGCGGGCATCCAGAGCCCTTGGTGGGATGAGGCACCTGCTGGCTGTGGAGCTGCTGCCCAAGGGTGGCACCATCGCTTCTGCTGCTCCAGGGGTTATCCCTGGGGTTTCCCAGCCCTCCCTGGGTGTTCCCAGACGGACAATCTCCACCTTTCCCCTGCTTTTGGTCTCAGGGCTGGTTCCTCTCCTTATTCCCCATCCCCTTGTAGGCACCCAGGGAATTCCCTCCCCTGGAGACCTGGGTTCTCCTCTTCTTCCCAAAGAGGGCTGAGGGTCCGTGTCTCCTGATGGTCACCGTCCACCCATTGCCATCAACCTCCACAGGCTTCCCCGTGTACGACCCGGCCCTGCTGGAGCAAGGGGAGGACGTTTGGGTCCCGGACATCCCGAGCTCCGAGGAGGAGGGGGAAAGGGCCAGACCCCTCCTGATGCTGTGGTCCAGGAGCAGGAAGCAGTGGAGGAGCTGTTGGGATGCCGGGAGCTCCTCTGGATCCATCACATCCTCAAGTAACGGACTTGGGGGGGGGGGGGGTGCAATCCATCCTTTCCCAAG